CAATTTTCTATTGAAAAGAGCCTAAAGAACACACTTTTCTATAGAAAATTGTCTAAAGAAGACATTGTTTATCGAAAAAATCGAAAAAAAACACACTTTTCCGTAGAAAAATAGACTAACGAACCACTTTTCTATCGAAGAGTGTAAAAAAAGTCACTTTTCTATAGTAAAGAGTTGAAAGAGACGCTTTTCTATAGAATATAATCTATAGAAGAAGCTTTTCTACCGAAAAGAGTGAAAGAAGAAACTTTTTTATAGAAAAGATTCCAGACAACACAAATTTCTAAAGAAAACAGAATATAAAAGAAACTTTTCTATAGAAAAGAATATAATGAAGATACTTTTCTATATAAAAGAGTCTAAAAGACACTTTTTTTTTATGGCAGAAGGTGTAAACACTTTTCAATGGAAAATAGTGTAAAGAAGTTTATTTCTATTGGAACGTCTAAAAAAGAAACACTCTATAGAAAAAAGACTTTAAAAAAGATACGTTTCTATTGAAAATGTATAAGAAGACACTTTTTTTATAGAAAAGTCTCTAACGAAGGCACTTTTCTATCGTAGTGTTTAAAAAAGACACTTTTCTATAGAAAAGAGTGTAAAGAATATACTTTTCTATAGAAAAAAGTTTAAAGATGAAACTTTTTATAGAAAAGCTTCCAGACACACACCTTTCAACAGAAAACAACAACAAAATACACTTTTCTATAGAAAAGAATATAAAAAAGAGTTTAACTAAGAATCTTTCCTATAGAAAATAGTCTATAGAATAATTTTAAACTAGAAAAGAGTATAAAGAATACACTTTTCTATAAAAATAGTCTAAAGAAGACACTTTTCTATAGAAAATTGTCTAAATAAAACTTATTTCTATAAAGAAGAAACACCTGTTTATAGAAAGCAGTATGAAAAAAGTTTTAATAAAGAATTTTTCTATTGAAAAATTTCCAAAAGAATAATTTTTAAATAAACTTTCAAAATTTTATTTTCAATATTTATACTTATCCAACCAATACATTTTCAATAAACCATGTTTTAAACATACTTCTTATACATACCTGTAACGAAAAAGAAAGAAAAAATCCATTAGTTCATTATAGAAAATAATGCACATGATTCCAAAAAAAAAAAAACAAGAAAACTTAAGTATAAAAAGTTCAAAACTCAAAACATTAAAATGTTGTTTCATGTTTATAACGAAAAAAAAATAAGAAAAAACCCTGTTAAAAGGTGTAAATAATACTCGAAAGAACAAGTGCTCCAAAATAAACGTACCTATATGTACATCCCCTTTTTTCAGTTCATTTGTAATATAAACCATTCAACTGCATTAAGGGTAAAACCCTGGACAAGTTGTGTTAAAATAAAATAAAAACAAAAACAATGTTGTATTTAAAATACATGGTGGTTGTTGCCAAGAAAATAAATTACAAAAAAAAAGAATTGCTTTAGAAATGTAAAAAAAAAAACTAGGAATTTTTATAATGTACAAATGCAGAGAAAACAAATGAATTAATTCTAGAAGTGAAAAGTTAAAAAACAACAAATAAACATTGGAGAAATGTACGAAATAAGGGACGCTACCGAAAAAAAAATCGGTGTCATTTTATTGGGAATTTGCAAAAATTTGAAACAGAATAAAAACACTACCTTAAAAGGCACTTGTCTATAGAGGAGTTCAAAGAAGACACTTTTCTCTGAAAGAGTGTAAACAAGATACAATTCTATAGAAAAAAGACACTTTTCTATAGAAAAGAGTCTAAACAAGAAACTTTTCCACAGAAATGAGTCTAAACAAGACACTTTTCTATAGAAAAGAGTTCAAAGACACTTTTCTATAGAAAAGAATAGAAATAAGACACTGTTCTATAGAAAAGAGTTGAAACAACACTTTTCTATAGAAAAGAGTCTAAACAAAACACTTTTCTATAGAAAAGAGTCTAAACAAACCACTTTTTAGTAGAAATGAGTCTAAACATACCACTTTTCAATAGAAAAGAGTCTAAACAAGACACTTTTCTATAGAAAACTGTCCAAACAAGACACCTTTCTATAGAAAACAAGACTATTTTCTATAGAAAAGAGTCGAAAAAAGACACATTTCTATAGAAAAGAGTCGAAACAAAACACTTTTTAATAGAAATGAGTCTAAACAAAATACTTTTCTATAGAAAAGAGTCCAAACAAGACACTTTTCAATAGAAAAGACTCCAAACAGGACACTTTTCAATAGAAAACAGTTTAAACGAGATACTTTTCTATAACAGTGTGTCGAAACAAGACACTTTTCTATAGAAAAGATTCTAAACAAGACATTTTTTTATAGAAAAAGAGTCTAAACAAGATACTATTCTATAGAAAAGAGTCTAAACAAGACACTTTTGTATAGGAAAGAGTCTAAAGAAACACTTTTGTATAGAAAAGAGTCTAAACAAAACACTTTTCTATAGAAAAGAGTCTTAACAAAACACTTTTCTATAGAAAAGAGTCTTAACAAGAAAGTTTTCTATAGAAAATAGTTTAAATGAGACACTTTTCTATAGAAAACAGTCTAAACAGAACACTTTTGTATAGTAAAGAGTCTAAACAAGACATTTTTCTATAGAAAATAGTCTAAATAAGACACTTCCATAGAAAAGAGCCTAAACAAGAAAGTTTTCTTTAGAAAAGAGTGTAAGCAAGACACTTTTCTAAAGAAAACGGTCTAAACAAAAAACTTTTATATAGAAAACAGTCTAAACAACACACTTTTCTATAGAGAAGTATCTAAACAAAACACTTTTCTATAGAAAACAGTCTAAACAAGACACTTTTCTATAGAAAGACTCTTTTCTATAGAAAAGAGTCTAAAAAAGACACTTTTATATAGAAAAAAGTTTAAACAAGACACTTTTCTATAGAAAAGAGTCTAAACAACTCTTTTCTATAGAAGAGTCTAAACAAGACACTTTTCTATAGAAAAGAGTCTAAACATGACACTTTTCTATAGAAAATAGTCTAAACAAGAAAATTTTCTATAGAATAGAATCTAAACAAGACACCTTTCTATAGAACAGAGTCTAAACAAGGCACTTTTATATAGAAAAGAGTCTAAACAAGACACTTTTCTATAGAAGAGAGTCTAAACAAGAAATTTTTCTATACAAGTCTTAACAAACACACTTTTCTATAGAGAATAGTTTAAACAAGGCACTTTCTTCTAAATAAAACACTCTTCTATAGAAGAGTTAAAACAATTTTCTATAGATAATAGTCTAAGCAGATCCAATTTTATACAAAATTTTGAATAAGTCTCTTCTATAGAGAAGTCTACATACATAACAAGGCACTTTTCGATAGAACAGAGTCTAAACAAGACAGTTTTCTATAAAAAAAGTTTTCTCTATAAACTTTTTTCTAAAGAATAGAGAAGACTCTAAAAAATACACTTATCTATAGAGGAGGGTTTAAACAATACACTTTTCTATAGAAAATAGTCTGAGCAGATTCCATTTTATACAAAAGTTTTAACAAGACTCCTGTATAGAGAAGACTCTAAACTAAACAAGACACATTTCTATAGAAAAGTTATATAAGTACTTTTCAATAGAAAATACTCTAAAGAAGACTTGTTTCTATAGAAAAGAGTGTAACTAAGACACTTTTGTATAGAAAAGAGTCTAACTAAGACACTTTTTGATGGAAAAGACAATTTTCTACAGAAGGAAAGAGCCAAGACAAAACATTTTTAGCAGTTTTCTCTAGAAACATTTTCTATAGAAAATAGTCTGAGCAAAAGTTCTTTCTATTTTATTAGTTTTTCAATATTTTGAATTTTTTAAAATTTTAATTTTGACATGTTACCCATGACCTGTAGACTCCTATAGTAGCAACTGTAGCTCTTCATAAAAGCTCCATTACAATAGTTCATTGTATATTGTAAAGTTATTTAAACCTATTAAAATAATTTTATCTGTTTTGTTTTGTACTTTTTAGTTTTGAAATTGAACATAGGGAAAGAACAAAGTTTTAATAAACTGAGAAATAGAATAAAACTAGTGAGAAATTAAAATACAAGTTTTGCAAACAGTTAGGGAAATAGTTAAAGGTGCAGTAAAGAAAGGAAACTTAAAATTGGGGAAGAGAAAAGAAAAGGAATAAAATTACATGCGAAACTTTAAAAAAAATCAGCGGGAAAATAATGTTGTTGTTGTTGTAATACTTCGTCTGGAGCCGATTGATCTTTACTGAAGGAAAATAACTTTCAGTTGAGACTGCTGTAGCTAAGTTGACAATCTTTAATAGAGTATAACCTGGATTATGCCAAAGCTAAGACCCAATTACCGTGGTTACAACAAAGTAATTTTATGATGGCCAGATATTAAACAACACCTTACAAAGTAAGGCATGAAGTAATGAGGGCGTTGAAGGTGAAATGATTAATAGGGATTTATAGCCTTAAAACTGAACAATAGTTTGCTAAAAACGTGCCCATTGAACTTGTCTAACCTTTTTTTCTATATCAGAAAAAACTGCACATTCTACCATTTAATCATCAATGAAATGATGACGATGTTGTTGCTGATGAAATTAAAGTGTTGCTATCGTCGACATATACTATTCCAGCGTTATTCATACATCCATTTATTCATTAATTCAGTCCGTCCCGACAGGCACCCATTGAATGAACGACATTCAATCAAGCTACTTGACTTACACCACCTTTGAAATGATGACATGCCAGCGAGCTATGGCTATCCAATCATACCACACGTTTATGTTCATGGCAGGCTTGCTTGGAGGCGAGAGAAACTGGCCATAAGCTAGACATCAAATGTACATAGATGTGGAGTAGAGTAGAGTACAGTGTGGAGTAAAAGCAAAGTAACTTGAAAAAATGCATAGTAATCTCACAAATACTAATAGTTTTTGAGCTCCCACAATTAGAGTAATAACTCTAAGAAGTCTTTGAGATAACCTTAACTCCAACAAACAACTCAAAATTAAAAAAATTTAAATCTATATTTTCGAAAAGTTTCCTCTTTTTCGTCTCCCACTGTTTTCTCTGGTCTTGACTGCTGGTTGTGCGCTTGCAACCATACCAAATATTACAAATTACTTGTGCAGCAATAAAAAATAGCTGAATTGAGGCCTAAAGGCAGTTAAAATTATATAATACTCTTACTCGACAATATTTTATATGGAAAACATTTATAATACTCTTTTTCAAAGGGAATGGAATAGTCCTTTTAATCGAAATGAAAAGAGCACAGACTAATAGATAAAGAGATTTATGCTAATAAATTGTAGTTTAATTAATAATCTTGTTAATTTTAAAGGGGATTTATTGAAAATAATATGTAAAATTTAATTTGAAAGGAACGTACTTGATTGTAGCGGAGAACAGAAGTCAACCGCGATAAATTTTCTTATTACAGTTTTTTTTAGAAAATTTTTGATAATTTTTTTTTATTATAAATTTTTTATAAAATTTTCTTCAGGAAAATTTTTGAATTTTTATTTTTATAGAAAATTTTCCCTAAATTTTCTTTTTATAGAAAATTTTCTCTAAATTTTCTTTTTATAGAAAATTTTCTCTAAATTTTCTTTTTATAGAAAATTTTCTCTAAATTTTCTTTTTATAGAAAATTTTCTCTAAATTTTCTTTTTATAGAAAATTTTCTCTAAATTTTTCTTTTTATAGAAAATTTTCTCTAAATTTTCTTTTTATAGAAAATTTTTTCTAAATTTTCTTTTTATAGAAAATTTTCTCTAAATTTTCTGTTTATAGAAAATTTTCCCTAAATTTTCTTTTTTATAACAAATTTTCTTTTTATAGAAAATTTTCCCTAAATTTTCTTTTTATAGAAAATTTTCTCAACATTTTCTTTTTATAGAAAATTTTCTCAAAATTTTCTTTTTATAACGAATTTTCTCTAAATTTTCTTTTTATAGAAAAATTTCCCTTAATTTTCTTTTTATAGAAAATTTTCCCTTAATTTTCTTTTTATAGAAAATTTTCTCTAAATTTTCTTTTTATAGAAAATTTTCCATAAAACCTAGTCCGCCCGATACCCAT